CCATGACATGGCCATTTCTACTGATCATAATTCCATTGTTGAGGTCAACTAGAATGGATTTACATTGTTCAATGTTCCAAACTCACATTGGTTTCTCATACAGCATCTCTGTATAGTATGTGTATTCACTCTCTGTCCTAAACGGCTTGTTGGAGCTCCTGCCCCCCCCCTCCCTATGAGCCCACTGTGCTCTGATTGGTCAGCTCGCCCACTCTGTTCTGATGAGTCCACCACCGTTAAAGCAGAACATCAGTGATTATGTGTTACAATAGGCGCTTTCACACCGGAGTACTTTTCCCAGGAATAGTTCCGATAGTTCCTGGGATTTTGCGTTCACACCAAAAAGATTTGGAACTAGAACTTAGTTATTTTCAGTCCCTGCTAGAGAGGTGGTACTTTCCTGGGGAGGAAAANGGAGTGAACAGCTATTCGTCTGCATCAAATATTCAAAGAATGGCCGCTGTATTCTGGCGAGATGACTACTTCAATCTTCCTTCCTCACAACTCATCAGCAGCTGATGAGTTGTGAGGAAGGAAGATTGAAGTAGTCATCTCGCCAGAATACAGCGGCCATTCTTTGAATATTTGATGCAGACGAATAGCTGTTCACTCCAGTGGAACAAACTGGATTGGAGTCCAGTCGCTCATCTGGAATAGGCTGTAATTTAAAGTCGTTGCCGCCGAATGTCCTTAAGATCCTCATTTCCTTCCAAGAAGAACTTCAACCTTCAGCCAGCTGGGCCCTGCCCTCCGTGGTCGCACCGTGCACACACACACAATATGTTTATGCACTTACGCACACTTGAGCACACACACTCAAGATACTTGAATTTCCGGGCAGTAATTGAAAACAACAATCTGCTCCAAAAGGGCGGTCTGGGATAGCGAGTGGGTAAACAGATTAGCAACTATCTTGGACCTACAGTACTTTGCATTCCTCTTTAGGAAAAATATATACTTTTTTTCAACTATTTCATGAAGCAATTAAAGGTTTCAAATGTATGTCCAGTGAATCATGACCATTGACTTTTGATATTGATCCATCCTTTGTCGAAGAGTAGGATGTCCAACAAGCCGTTTAGGACAGAGAGTGAATACACATACTATACAGAGATGCTGTATGAGAAACCAATGTGAGTTTGGAACATTGAACAATGTAAATCCATTCTAGTTGACCTCAACAATGGAATTATGATCAGTAGAAATTGCCATGACATGGGACCTTTAAATATTTCACTAACTATTAATCGTTTTTTCAAACATATTTGCAGATTGTGTTTCCTATTGATGCATTCATCGATGTAGAGCTGAAGTCCTGTTATCATGACTAAGCAACTCACTTGGTTCTCAAGTATGTAACCAAACAGGCTTGTAATGTGGAATAAAATATTGCCCATACTAGAACAATTATTTGTTCTGCAGCATGTTTTACAGAGATGGGAGACAGATTTAATATAGCATTTTAATCAGATGGAAAAACATAAAAATAAAAATATCCATCAACCATGAGCTCAATAATTAAACAGATCATGCAAAACCTGGAACCGCTTTCTTCAACCTTAAAGGCAAAATAATCCCTTTTAATAAAACCTGGTCTCCTTTTCCTCTTAACACCAGCTGAGCCAGACTATCCCCAAAATCCAGAAGTCCCCAATATTGTAACAATGTAAAATGAACAATGTAAAATGATAAAATAGCACAAAACACTTTCTTCTGTCCTCTTATTGACTCTTTTCTTTCCTTTTTATCTTTTTGAATTCATGTGTGTTGTTTTTTTCTGTTCTTATGTGTAAGTACTACTTGTTTGTTGTGAATAGTTTTGTTTTGTAAATACTTTTGTTATCAACTCCATTGTGAAAAATATGTTTTTAAAGAGACAGTGGTATTGGTTTCATAAATGAGATGTAGCTATGTTATTGTTAGAGTTTCAATGACATTCTCATGGTTTCACTTGTGCAAAAAAGGGTGAACATATTGTACAACAGCACTTTTTAAACTTTTCACACAGGAAATAAGAACTCCCTTGCAGTTTGTGTAAAACCACATTATTTAAGTTACATTTAGGATCTTTATATACACTCAAGTAACCTGGTTGGTGTCTGATTCCTGCATTAAAACAAAATACCATGTAACACAAGTGAATAATCCTGGAGAAACCAGATATCTTGTGTAAGTCTTAAAGAATTCTATATTCCTTATTTTTGTAAAAATAAAAATAAATAATGTACCCTACTGTAATAAAAGTGTGTGATCGAAGACTAATACGTCATATTCTTCTGTGCTATAGACCTCCAAAAGACAGCTGTAAACCACACCGTTTCCTTGTTACCATGGGAAGAACTCATCCAATGTACTATTTCCTCCTGTTACGGGAGCTACTGTTTTAGGTAATTAACTTTTTAATCAAACTATGAAATCTGTTTTATCTGTTTTTTAGAGATTTATATTTCAAGTAGAAACAAATGACCATAGAAAGTGAAAGTATATTATGGCAGGAATGCAGATAGGTGAAAGGGAACATAGCTGTGTCCAAGATAGTTAAATACAACTAAAACTGAAATAAATACATTTCATTTTTTTAAAACCAAATGACAGCTCTCGAAAGTCATGACTTACAATTGGACAGCCTTGGTTAAAAAAAAATGTGAATGGATAAATGTGATTATTGCGTCACATTGTATTTTTAAACTAGGCAGATCTTTCTTCTTAAACCTGATCTCTCTCTCTTTAGACTACCGTAATTTTCGGACTATAAGGCGAACCTGAATATAAGCCGCAGCAGCTAAATTGAATGATGTGTACATATATAAGCCGCACTGGACTATAAGCCGCAGGTGTTTTAATGTTTAATTACCATATGTAAGGGTTCGTGCACAGAGGGGATTGTCGGGAAAGAGATGGCTGTTTGAGGAAGCTCCCATTTATTAACATTTCAACAAACAAGTTGCATATTTGCATAACGTATTCAAGTGTTACCATTTGGTGCAATAGTAGCTACAGAACATGTACTGTGCTGTGTAAACTGTACTGTATCACATAGCGTTTCAGACACACAAACTTTTCAACTTTCAAACTTTAACGGTGCGCTCCCAGCGCACGTACCGGCAGTGATCTACAGCAGTGGTTTTCATCCAGTGGTACGGGGACAAACTGTCTCGCTCTCGTAATGTCTGTCTGTCTTGCTCTCGTTCTGTCTCTCGTACCACTCTCGGTTCCACTTTTACTTTTGCGCGCTACCTGTCTCACTCTTTTCCGGCCTCCAGCTTTTCCTGCTGGAGCCCGCCGCTTAAAGGTGGGGGGCGCGGACCGGCCATAGAGCCCATAGAGTTAAAGGTGGTGGACTGTAACCTGTAAAATCCATAGATTTAGGAGGTCCCCTAGTGGCCGTTAGCTGTAAAAATCCATAGATTAGCCGCACCGTTATATAAGCCGCAGCGTCGAAAAATGGGAAAAAAGGCGCGGCTTATAGTCCGAAAATTACGGTACTGTCTCTTTGGCATTAAACATATTGTATGTTCAATACACTGACAGTAAAGTAAAGCTGTTTTTATCAAATATTAACTTCTTCTTCTCTTCCCTTTTAAAACATACCTCTTGGCTTTTGTCAGCTCCTCCTCCCACTGGTTGAGGAGTTTGGGCACCGTCACCTTGGAGCTGTCGCGCTTGTTCAGAGACCACAGGTCTTTGGTCTCCAGAGGCATTTTGTAGCCCTTTATAGCCATACTAGAGAGAGAGAGACAGAGAGAGCCATGTTAGCAAAGTACAGACTGAGCATTCACAACATGGTGATAGGAACAGGCAGGTATAAGAAAACATGGCCGCCAAAAAAGGAGCAGCTCTGCCATCAGTGTGGCAGAACTGCTGTGGAGACAGACCAGCACTACCTTACACAATGCCCAAAATGTAAACCTGTCTATCATTTTTTTGTAAATCAGAAGTGTCTTTGTTTAAATCATACCACAACCCTGCATCGAATGTATATAAATGTATATATATATTACCAGTTTTATCCAGCAGAATAATTAATAATTGCCTATATGATTTCTGTTCAGTTTTTGTCACTTTAAGGGTTTAAAAAATAGGACTGGTGTTAGGGGATGCTGTAGTTGAATTTGCTCAAATTCGAAAAACATTGATACAGTAGATGGCTGGTACAATGATTTTCATTATGTTTGGATGATTGTTTTAAATGGCATTATTTGTACAATGCTTTGGCAAGGATGTATGTCCTCATGGCCATGCCAATAAAGCTTTTTAATTGAATTGAAGTGAGAGAGCCGTTTAATTGAATCTGGAACATTCAACACTTCAACAATCACAATTATATGTGAAGGACACAGTATAGGCTTGTTAGTCTCCACCTGTCTCTCTGCCTTTGAACGATTTTCAGGGTGTTTTCTTATGTACCTTGTTGTGTGTTTCATTACATGAGCAACATGTCATTCTAAAACAAAAATCTAAGATACTGACTCAGTTGGAATTCTCCCCACAAAGAACCTTAATTGAGTTTCCTGGATTTGCTAATCATTATTATGTACTGGTGGATCAGATTTCACCGGAAATTGCCCTGATGCATTTTCCGGTAAGAGGAGAGACTGGCTTACAGAAAAAACAGAAAGAAGATGCTGCACTTCAGTAAGATGAAAGAAGCAACATCTCTTTTGTTGTTGGAATCAAAAATAATTAGTCAGTTATCATCAGTTGGTGTGAGACAAACCAACGTCCCTTGTTAACAGTAATTATCAACTTTGAGCAAATACATATTATATATTTTTATAATAAAATAATTGCCTGATATCCATTTTATATTGGTCTGCAGAGATCACCTTTGTTTTTCTTGAAAGCTTCTGGACCAAAAGTACATTTACTAGATTACGTTTAAATGTATTATTACTGAATAGAGCTTGAAGCGACACAATTCACAATGCAACCTCTATTAAAAGTAGCTGCGCTGCAAAACCAGCTTCTAACAGCTAACGTCACTAGTTCTTCTCGTATCATTTTAACTTTAAATTGTTGTTCACAATAATGCATCATCACCATAGATCTCTGCATGGACCTGGGTCTTGGGCTGGATAACATATTTACCCTTTAAATCCCCCCTGACTACAGCCCTTCAAAAATAATTACATGATCCCAGACTAACAGCCAGCAAAATAAGCGCTAACAAATGTAACTACCTCCTACTGATGTTTAAATGTAGATTGTACACAGTAAGAAACACCTTACTGATTTAGCTTAACAAGGCTACCTAGCCAGCTAACTATGCTAGGTTGCTAGCTTGTATTATTGATCAGCACTAAAGTGACAAAAACAGCTAGCTAGATCATTCGGAGATAAGCGATTTTGATTTCAAAGATGTCCCTTAGAGAAATACAGAATTCTGTGAACATCAAACTGACCAAAAACAAACAACATGACAGACATTTTCTTTGCTTACGATAAAAGGAGCTAGAAAACATTGCTAACATGTAGGCCTACTCTACTTCGAGAAATAATCCAAGTTAGCAACCTAGCCTCGCTAATTTAGCCACTAGGTTGGTAGCATAGTTTAGCTAAATAAAAGGAGTAGTAGGTTACTTTGTGTGAGTAGTGTGTTAAGTGCAGCAGCAGCCTTTAGTTGTTTGTTTTATAGTGACTTGAAGTAACTTGACTTAATTGAAAGTTACATTTTAAACTTAAATGTAAAAATACAATATATTATTAATCCCAATATGTACAACACATGATGTGTCTATGGGTGAGGCATTGGGAGGCAGACACCAGTGTGAACCCACCTTGTGAACCACCAGAACGTCATGGTGGAGAGAAAACCTGCTGTGGCTTCAGGGCAGGGATTCTGAAAAAAATAGGAAAATGTGCAGAAAAACAAGTCATGGGTAAACAAGGATACAGTTGACATACTTCTATGAGCAGCCAGCAACAAGCGTGTTCTCTGTGTGTGAATAAGTGTGTGACCTTCTTTAACAAGTAAACAGTGGCCCTGAGGCACACACTCAGACTTCAAGCCACTCAGGACCGTGAACATACAAGCTGGAATTGAAGATGTCCTTGCATGTAACATACATACATGCTCCATGGGCTCTGAGTGGACACTTCAGAAGGATGCATAACTCACTGGGTCTGTGACAACATTGGAGAAGAGAGGAGGTTTCTCATTGAAGCAGCAGAGGATCAGCTCACAGACCACAAAGGCGAAGTAGAAGTAGAACGTAGTGAATCGCAGCTTGTCCTTGACTTCGCTCTGAAATGTAAAATAAAGACACAAAGAGATGAGATGATAGCAAATATGAAATTAAAGGAAAGATCATGTGAGGCTGTGCTAGGACAAACCACTGCTTTGAGCAAAATGTCAGTTGCTAACATTCTCACAAAAACCACACTAACATGCCAATTTGAACTAAATGCGAGGTACAGCTAATATTGATTAAACTGTTCTGTGGGTATTCAGTCAAAAGTGAGCCTTCTTTCCAAGTTTTGGATGGACAATGTTGACCTGATGCTGGCACTAAATTAAAAGTTAAAAAAGATAAGATAAGATGTTTTGATAAACCCTATGAGGAAATTGATATTCCCAACATTCTTCAAAATATTTCATTCAAAACCGCAGTTGCAACATCATTATTGCGCCAGACGATCACCACAAGCACAAGACAAGTTCTTTCTCAAGGAACCATCAAAGCCTGTACAAAATGTGATGGCAGTCCACCTTGACATATGTAAGTCTGGATCTAACTGGTGGACCAGCCTACAGGCCCACAATGCCAATCGTAGAGCGCAAGTCAGACAAAAAAAGGCATTAAGAATGAAAAAATTGCATAATAGGGCCTCTTTCAGCTAAATTATTAGCATGCTAACCTTCTCACAATGGCAATGTAAGTGCTGATGTTTAGCAGATGTAATTCCAGCGCTTTAGTTTAGCCTGCTAATATGCTAACATCTAATCTGAAAAGCCACAAACCTAATTTTACAGGTATTTGATCATAAATTAAAGAGTTAGACAGACCATTTTGACCTGGTTGTCCTGTAGCAAACGCTACCTACCATTAGAATTCCTGAGACTTTTAACTTGCATCCATTGATTTGAGTTCACACAATATTCCCAAGACAGAAAGACCCAAAGGGAAGCCACAAACTTTTTCTCCAAACAGCTAAATCAGACGAACATGATTATAAATAGGTGGCCTAGTTAGACAGTGTAAAATCACCGAATCATATTTGTTCATGGGCTAATTTTCTGGATCAACGTGAATATAGCATAGGTCTGCTGTAGCCTGGGCTGACCTGGAACACATGGCTGCGTGGTTTACCGCCTGTCTGCCTCGCACTCTGACCCACTGAGCGCTCCAGGCTCTGCTTACACCTCTGTCCTGGGTTGGTGTTACTTTGAAAGCAGCCACACTAAGTAAAGACTTTTAAATATGAATGAAATGTATTTATTATGGTTGAAAGTGTTTTTTATCATAAAGGAAGTGGAAAAGAATACCATCCATCATGTGGCACAAAAGGAATTCAGTGACAGCAATTGAACACACCTTTTTGTACTGAGACATTCAGGCTGGACAAGTGGAGTCTACTCTTAACTGATATAAAAGATTTTCTGCCCACACACACAGGATATTATTTTTTCATAAACAAATATCTTACAGTAACCCATGGTATTAGCGTCAGTGTGTGGTGCATTCATGAGGCTGACTTGCATTTCTTAATACACTTCTGATCTAATGGATATTTATTTCACACTTTTTACTGTTATGTTGATGCTAAAACAATTGCAGGTGGCCTTTTCCATAAATCAGATTATCTCGCACACAGAAACATGAATATGAACCAATGTGCACATCTTAATCGGTTCTTACTCTGAATATTGAGCGTAATCCAATTATAACGTGCAAGTTAACACAGCCAGAAACATTTCCATAATACAGATGATCAAGAATGCCAAAAAGAGCTTAGATCTAACAGAAATTCACCTCAATTTCCTATTTTCATGAGACAGACAGTGTCCAAACTTTTAAGAGTATGCTGAAGACTTTCCTTTTGAAAATATTACCCCATGTTTGTCTTCCTGAATCCAACATTTTATATACAATAACCATTACACATTCTAAAGCTATGTTATATGACTTTAAGTGTCAAGTACTTAAATAATTTGTAATTCCAATTTTAGATTAAATATGTTTTTCCCACTTCATTAAAGCAAACAATTACAACTTATATTGACTTACAACAAGCGTGTGATATGTTATATCTGCTATGTTGTGTAGGAGAGAATACATAAAGATTATAATCTGTTAATTGTTTATTGAGCCTGATGAGCTGGTGGCAGCTTGTATGGAAGCCTCTTCCACAAGTGTGTGAATGTGTGTGTGAATGAATGCACTGAAAACCAACAACGTTTAAATGTATTATATCAAGTTATTTGAATAAGTAATAGTAAATGTAACCTACATTTTATTTAGACTTAAAGGTCCCTCATGCTTTTCCGGTTATTACCCGTCCCCTTGTGTGTTATGTAGCTTTTTCTACATGTAAACGGTCTGCAGAGTCACAAACCCTCAAAGTACACCCTATAGCGAGAAAAACTCTAACACAGAAAAGACCTGTCTATGCTGCCCCAGAACGCCTCGTTTGAAATTCCTTTTTCCATTTTTTTCTTCCTGGTACCAAGTGACGTAACGACGACCAAATGGACCAATTGTTCCAAATGGACCAATCCGTGGAGCTCCTCATACACACTCAGCCATATCTTTTCTCAGCCACGCTACTCCGCGGATTTCTCATCCTGAACTCAGCCTGAGCACACACAAACTCACAGCTCGCTGTGTCGCAGACCCCATGCAGCAACCAGGAAACGACACCAGTAATCCAGCTCACACTGTCCGCTCCTCGCAGCAGCGAGCCCTGCAACGTCCCGCCAACACGGCACCCAGACCCCACGCAGCATTCTCATCTGTTTGTCATTACTGGTGTCATTTTCTGGTTGCTAACAAACGCCATTGTAACACATAATCACTGATGTTCCGCTGTAACGGTGGTGGGCTCATAGTGGGCGAGCTGACCAATCAGAGCACAGTGGGCTCATAGGGAGGGGGTGGGATAGGAGCTCCAACAAGCCGTGTAGGACAGAGAGTGAATACACATACTATACAGAGATGCTGTATGAGAAACCAATGTGAGTTTGGAACATTGAACAATGTAAATCTATTCTAATAGACCTCAACAATGGAATTATGATCAGTAGAAATGGCCATGACATGGGACCTTTAATGTTATTGCTTTCAACTAACCTAATACAATTATGTTTAATTTGTTGACATAATACATTGATTAAGTTTAACCTAATATTTAAACTTCTTATAATTGCTTTCAACTCACCTAATTATGTGTCATTTGTTGACATAATACAATTTAAGTCAACATTTCATTTTTTTCAGTGTGGGTGAAGGCTGGCTTGAGTTGTATTGTGTTGAGTGGTTGCTAAAGCTAGAGAGAAGCTATATTAATGCAGTCAATTTACAGCGCTATAACAGATTATAACTCATTATGCAGCATTATAGAAAGTGGTACTGAAATGTTTAATAGGTCACTGATTAGAGGAGTGTTTTATTTCCAGCAGTTCGGAGCTTTACAGTTCTGCCAAAATGCCCAACACCTAGCCAAGTAATTACCTGGATCAATGGTTTGCAACAAAATAATGTTTTGGCGCTGCTTCTGAATTATATTTGAAATGTTGTTGTTGTTGTTGTTGTTGTACCCCTGTCTTGTCTTGTCGCCTGTGGGATTTGTCTGTAGTGTGCTGCAGCTAACAGCCTTAGAGGTGAGATAAGTATGGTAGGAACAACAGGCATACTATTCCCTCTGCGCTTAGTGATGCCCTGGGCTGACCCCTCTCCAAACATCCACTCACTGTAAGCTCCTGAGACAACGTGGAGGGGGAGGGGAGAGACAGAGCTGACAGATGAAGTAGTCTCAAACGTCAAGAGCACTGAGGAGGCAGAGGAGGAAGGAAATGGAAGAGAACCACCAGAGCAAAGACAAGATAATTGGGGATGGGGAAGAGGATGATGGACGTGAACTAAATACAATTATGTGATATTTGTTGACATAATGCGTTTCATAAAAAATATTTTTTTTCAGTGTGTAAAAGACATTTGAGAGCCGTTCTCACCTGGCTGGAGGCCTGGAGGATCTTGGAGCGGAAAGGCACGATGGCACATAGCACACACAGGAACCAGAAGATGAAGAGGACCCCTGAGGACTGGACCCCGCGTAACCTCTCAAACTGGATCAGAAACGTGGCCAACAGCTGAGAGAGGAGGGCGGGGGGGGGGTATTACACGGAGAGAGGAATGGATGGGCAGAGGCAGAATGTTAGATTAGCCAGGGTTTAATCACTGAGGGCATGTAAGGTGAACCGCAGTCTGACTGGGTCAGCCTTTCATGCTTCATCGCTCTCAGGAGAACTGCGGACAAGCTTCACTCAAGTATACAGCTCTGGGTAAATGCTTTCAGCCTGCTACTGATGGCCAGGTAGGACATAGGGGCACCAAAAAACAATATAACTGACAGGAAGTGATGACAACAGGGCTCGACATTAAGGACTGCCCGATGGCCCGGGGCCATCTAGTATTTAGCTCGGGCAATGAAGCCTCACCTGCTGGTTTCCCGATCGGGCAATCTATTATGCCAGTATCATGCAGCTCGCGGATCCAGTAATGAGTGACCCGACAGTAAAACTAAACATATCTATAACTAGTTTAGGTAGTTTGAGAGGTAATTAAAATAGCTACGTGTGATATTCTAACCTGAAGTGTGTGTTTTGTCCGCTTACCGCTGCATGTGATCATGCAGAGCTGAGTTTCGACTCGTCAGCAGCAGCTGATCTCTCTCTCCCGCCAGATTAGACTTTACTCGCGTTTATGTCCATATCAGATCCAGCTAGTTCTAGCTAATGATAGGACTACCTGCTTATTAAAAGACACCTAAACAATAAGTGTCGCTATGCAACTGGATGAGGCCACAAAGTATAGGAGTTTTTTTTTTTTTTTACTATCACTTAGATCGATCCGATTTTGATCTTACTTACCCTTTTTTGATTTACTTTAGTAACCGAAAGATCTGACTCTAAGAGTCCAAAAGGTCATTTGGACTACGGACTACGTCTCTTTCAGGGATCACAGTAGTTACTCAACGACGCTGATTCGGTGTTCTTGGAATAACAAAATTCATAAACTACAGACCGAGACAAAAAACTTGGAACTGGAGCAAGAGAGTACGAGACGAGGTCACAAACCGAACAACAATACCTAACACACGAACGCTGTCTAGAGAAAGATGTGTAAGGGCTCGACCGCCGTCCCTTGTGTGTCCGGCGGTAGATGAAACAGTAGGGCGACCAACGAGCGTACTGGTACCAGCTCCTACTACAGATTGTTTTTTTGTCGTTACCCCCCCCACTGCACACCGAGGGAGAGCAAAATATTCAAATTACGAAAATTTGTTTAAAGTATTAAAAGATTATGTCTCGGTGTCACTATACCATATTAGTTCGAGTTGAACGTATTCGCACTATATAACTTGACCCTCTTAATGACTACGACTAATAATGGACACGTTCGAATAAGCAAGTCGTGGATTATAAATCAGATTTATATTAATTTTTTCATGTAAAGTTTACGTCGTACGCAGTTTTCGTGGGACTATCAGAGATTACGGTTCAAAGGGTTTAGAGCTATTATGATAGGGTTAATTCGATCCCCACGGGTTATTCAGCTAGACGCTAGCTGCCAAGCTAGCGTTTTCACACACGTGACACCCCATCTAGCGTACCGTAAATTTTTTGTTTTTTGTAGGAGAGATAATACCGTAACGGTGAACAGGGAGCCGGATGCTTACGCACCCCGGAAGTGGAGCGCCTCGATCGGAGTAGACCTTCGCGTGTCAAAGGGCGGCGACGCTTACCAAGGCCGGGGACGTCAAGAGTGATCGGTGGGGGGCATGGGGGCAGCTGCAGAACGTCGTGTCATCCCCGGAGTACTGAAACGCACCCCGGGTGTCTAACCGGTCCAATCTGGACTAGTAAAACTGAAATTTCATCGAAGGTTCGACTTTTAACACACCCGTGGGGGACGGATGTCATGATGTATGGATGCAGTATCAAGTCTGTCATGATTTGTTTGTAGCATTTTCTGTAAACTTACAGTGACGTTATTTTATTTTTATTTTTTCCAGAAGGAACTAAATAGACCTAGAGTGGTGGTTAAACCTTAAGTTTATATTGTCAGTAAATTTACTAGGAATTGCGGTGTAAGATTTAGCTATCGTAAATAATAGAGAGACCAAAATCATGGGAAGTAAAAAGCGAGGGTACATCAATAACAAAACGTCTGCCTGGTAAATGAAGAGGTCGAACGGTACTGTAATTCCTAAAACCACTCTACCGGGGACACCGGCAGATCGTTAATGTCTACCCGGGACTCGGGTTATTCTCTAACGGGACTTTTTACGCACGCCTGCTTTACTGCGATGCTTCGCAAAACCCCCGCCGGAGGGGGCTCTTGTAAAATGTAGAGTCTACGACAGACGCACGAAAGAGAAGCTGACCTTAATATTCTACTTGGTGGTATACATATAACGAGTTAAAGTTAACATAAGAAGTAAAGTAACACACAAACAAGAACAAAAGAGCGGACGTAGGGACGTATCGAATTCTTTATATTCAACGACCAAGTTCATGTGAAAGGTGGCCTACTTCCCGTTATACGGCGAAAGAGGTATACATTTTTTTCATCTTTTGTAATGTAGTGCAACGTTGCGGTTTTGTTTGTAATAACATGTGAAATACCGGGACAATTTTTACAAACATCATACAATAGATGAGATATTCACCAGCAAGCTTCTGCTTACGGAGGAGTAGGCCTTCGACGTGGCTCGTCGTCTTAGCCTCTCCTGGCTCGCGTAGGACGCTGTTCAGTAATCGTTATTACCGGCTGCAGTCTCAAGGGCAATCGGCCGTTTAAGATTTAGAGAAGACAAGTTTTATTAAGAGGGAATCACGTTATGGCGAAGTCAACGCGGTAGAATACACTGTCTGTTCTTCGTCTACACTGTCTGTTCTTATCAGTCTAAGATTACAGATTGTGCCTTACGACCTGTATCTCTCACAGGTCCATAGTCTCGCAACTACCGCCAACTAGACGACCATTACGAGGCAGCCAAAGGCCACCCCGTACATTTGTTTACG